GCTATCACGACAATTTTACTAGGACCATCTTCAGAAGCTGCGCAGCTTAGAACAAGTGCTTGGGTAGATAGGGCAGCTACAGAATGTCGTAAATAATTATTTATGTGCATGCTGCGATGAACTGTGACATCATGAAACTCCACTTCAATACTACACTCTTCCCCATCCTCTGATGAGAAACATCTAATCATTCCCACATCGTTCCACATCTACATAAATTCATATTACATAAAGATTAAATTGACATTTAAAGATTGTCAGCGTAAGATGCATAACCTTCATTATTGTAACGTACCATAAAATACGATAATAAATGAGAGGGTGTAGATCCAGGTTGAAAATATGATTGCAATTTTACGTTAGGTATAAAAGTCTTTGTGTCACATGAAGGCTTTTCAGAGTCTACATCAAAATTAGATTTTTCGTCATCCTCTAAATTGACAGAAGCCTTGATTTTATTCAGGGATATCACGTTTTCGTCATCATCGTCATCATGGTCCGATAAAGCAATATCATTTTCCACCGCATCTTCATTTTTTTCAAAATTTAACATTACATCACTTCTAGGCTTACTAGTACTTATCTAAAAGAATTATTACAGACATTCTAGATATAATAACAAAATTTATATATATCTGTGTGTATAAAACATAAATATTTAACAGGAGTATTCTTTTACCACATCAATGCATCCTAATTTTCCTAGTGCATCACAGAATGCGATTTCATTCGAATGATCTATGTGCCACACCAATGCAGTGATTTTGGTATCTTGCTCATGTTCGAGATATCCAATCATTTCCTTGGTTTCTACATTCCATACAACTATCTCTCCATATAGTGAACTAGTTGCAATGCGTGTGCCACACTCAGAGAATTTACAAATGCTGATTTCCTAAAAAATAAAGATAGAAAAGGCAATAATTTAATTAATTATCAGAATAGATAAAAAATTGAGACAGTAACTTACAGTTTTTAAAGTAGGACACTTCAATCTACATAATTCCTTCCAGGATAATCTCTCCACAATAACTATATCTTTGTTAGCTGGATATGCTAAGCAACTGCCATCTGTACATTTGAAAGAAGGTGTGCAATATGACTTTGCAGTAAAAAAGGAGTTACATTTTGGTACAATATTATTCCAAATATGTACAGTTCTCTTTTCTTTAATATTCCATACTCGAATAGATCCATCAGCACTAGAAGACGCCTGGAAATATCAGTTTCAGATCTAAAATATTGCTTTTATCAATAAAGTATTAGAAAATGATTAGTAATGAATCTTACCACAAACTCTTCTTTTGGATCTAAAGATAGGCCTAAGATAGGTGCTTCATGACCTTCTAGTTCTGTACTGTCTAAAGTATTAATGTTTGTGACTTGTATCCGCATATCGCTTTAAAAAGAAAAACATAAGTTGCTAAAGAATTGTATATATATATATATATATATAGTACTGGACAAAATAAAGTACGCACTCCAAACATTTTCACATTTATGTAAATAACTCGTCTGTCCTGGCAGACAGCATAATGATGAATCAGGTAAAAGAAAAGTATTTTAGTCTACTTTGCGATAATGATTACAAAAATTTCAAAAACAATTCGAAATCCTTTAATAATCAAGTCCGTTACATTTATTATCAAATTTATCATGGAAAAAATAACGTGCGCACAACATTGTTTATGAAAATAATAACTGGCGCTGTTGATGATGAAAGATACATAAATATAACAATGAAGGATATATAAAGAAATGAATAAAGCAGATTTGTCAGTTAATAATATTGCTAGATAGAGTATAGTAAGAATTCTTTATCAGTGAATATGGAAACCAAGCAATTTGTTTGCAAATTCGAAAACTGATAATTCAGGATTGTCAGAAGGGGTTTTCTAATAGAAAAATCGATCGCAAGTACAATGTGAGTGAAGGCGCAGTCCGAAAGATATGGAAAAAATTCCAGGAGCTTGGCACAGTAGCGAATAAGACAGGACGGAAGAAAAAGACAAATCCAATCGAAGACCGCAGAATCATACAGGAAGTAAAGAAAAATTCAACTGTTACTAGTCGTGTTATTCGAGAAAACCTACAATTAAATATTTCCGAACGAACGGTGCGGAGGAGACTTCGAGAAGTTGGACTTAGAAACAGTTTTGCAATGCGTCGTCCTTTGATTCGGAAGGCCAATAAAATCAAACGTCTAAAATTTGCAGAAAAATACGTTAACAAGTCAGTGGATTTCTGAAAAAAGGTCCTTTGGAGTGACGAAAGCAAATTTGAACTTTTCGGTCATAAACAGCGACCACGGGTCTGGTCAAAGCCTAGCGAAAAACTTATCGACAAAAATATCCAAAAAACACTCAAACATGGAGGAGGCAGCATAACAGTATGGGGATGTTTTGCGTGGTCTGGTTTGGGAAATCTAGTCAAAATCGACGATATAATGACAGCAGATGTATACATTGATATTCTCAATTCAAAATTTAGAAGAGTCTCTGCTAAAGGTTGGTCTCGAGAACAACTTCGTTTTTCAACAAGATAACGATCCCAAACATACCAAAAATTTGCAGAAAAATACGTTAACAAGTCAGTGGATTTCTGAAAAAAGGTCCTTTGGAGTGACGAAAGCAAATTTGAACTTTTCGGTCATAAACAGCGAC